CGAATTTCTAATAGGGGACGAGATTTTACTTATACTTGGCAAATGAGGGGTTGCTTGTAGTTCTTTTTAATTTAATTCATTAAGGAAATATAAATATTTGACCGACCACAAAATTTACAACCCCTTCAATCGAATACTGCAACTTAGGTAGGACCGAATTTTCTTAAAACTTACGAATTTCTAATACGGGACGAGATTTTACTTATACTTGGCAACTGAGGGGTTGCTTGTAGTTCTTTATAATTTAATTCATTAAGGAAATATAAATTTTTGACCGACCACAAAATTTACAACCCCTTCAATCGAATACTGCAACTTAGGTAGGACCGAATTTTCTTAAAACTTACGAATTTCTAATACGGGACGAGATTTTACTTAAACTTGGCAACTGAGGGGTTGCTTGTAGTTCATTTTAATTTAATTCATTAAGGAAATGTAAATATTTGACCGACCACAAAATGTACAACCCCTTCAATCGAATACTGCAACTTAGGTAGGACCGAATTTTCATTAAACTTACGAATTTCTAGGGGACGAGATTTTACTTATACTTGGCAAATGAGGGGTTGCTTGTAGTTCTTTTTAATTTAATTCATTAAGGAAATGTAAATATTTGACCGACCACAAAATGTACAATCCCTTCAATCGAATACTGCAACTTAGGTAGGACCGAATTTTCATTAAACTTACGAATTTCTAGGGGACGAGATTTTACTTATACTTGGCAAATGAGGGGTTGCTTGTAGACCTTTTTAATTTAATTGATTAAGGAAATATAAATATTTGACTTACCACAAAATTTACAACCCCTTCAATCGAATACTGCAACGTAGGTAGGAGCCAATTTTCATAAAACTTACGAATTTTTAATACGGGACGAGACTTTACTTATAGTTGGCAACTGTAGGGTTGCTTGTAGATCTTTTTAATTTAATTGATTAAGGAAATATAAATATTTGACTTACCACAAAATTTACAACCCCTTCAATCGAATACTGCAACGTAGGTAAGAGCGAATTTTCTTAAAACTTACGAATTTCTATTACGGGACGAGATTTTACTTATACTTGGTAACTGGAGGGTTGCTTGTAGATCTTTTTAATATAATTGATTAAGGAAATATAAATATTTGACTTACCACAAAATTTACAACCCTTTCAATCGAATACTGTAACGAAGGTAGGAGCGAATTTTCTTAAAACTTAGGAATTTCTAATACGGGACGAGATTTTACTTATACTTGGCCACTGGAGGGTTGCTTGTAGATGTTTTTAATTTAATTGATTAAGGAAATGTAAATATTTGACCTACCACAAAATTTGCAACCCCTTCAACGAATACTGCTACGTAGGTAGGTTTTGGAAATATGGTAAATAAAATAAAGTTCGTTCAATTCCGTTTTTCCCTCCTTCTGAAAAAGCGTCACGGGAAGATAGCGAAACCACGAGTGAGTGCGGTGCCGCCGAGAATAGAACAAGTAAATTCACCGGTAAGTGACGCTGTCCCAATATTTATTTACCTAATTTACCATTAACGAACGAACGGGAAAATTTGGTTACAAACATAAAATTGGTAGCAGAGCGTGGTTTCTTAGCTTAAAACGGATTTTGGGGAATAACGAATAATTATACGATATATGAATAAGGATTGATTTGATTTAATTGATTGTAAATTGCAACGAAATAATTGAGGTGTGTTAGTTCATATCCCAATTCTTAATTTTAATTATTACCTATTGTGTACAATCTTTTTGAATTCGTACATCTTACAACTCCTTTTGAAGGAACCGTATGTTATCTATATAGTTCAGTTGTGACATCGGCTGGGTATTCACGATCCAGAACGAATAATTTGCAGTTATCGATAATTTTACATATTTCATTTATAATATAAGGCAAATGGCTTCGCCTAGCGAGGAAGATAAGGCTCTATTTATGAAATATACGGGTTACAAGGAGCGTTTATGGCGCAAATTGCAAGACTGCTTATATGCATTAACAAAACAATTACCTCAAAGTTTAGTGCAATTTAAGGTGAGGGTTAAAGAAAGGACGCGATGATTTCACGGCGGTTTTGGACAAATTATTTCTATTATCTAATAAACATAAAGAATTCAATACTGATGTCGTTCAATTAGAATCCAGCTTTGATGGTATTTATTATGAAATATTAGTATTCGCTGGTGAATATAGTAGACCGTTAGGTGATACTCAACCCTCGGTATCTATTACGACACCTGTGAAGAAAGAATTATCATTACGGGATGTAAATTTAATGAAGTTCGATGGTAGTCCTGAGAAATTCCCCGCATTTAGGGCAATGTATGATGCAATGGTCCATAATATGTCATATTCGGATGTCGAAAAATTCACTATATTAATTAATCATTTGGGGGATAAGTGCTACGTGGGTAGTAGTGTTTTCATAAAAATTACGAATTTTTAAACGGGATGGGATTTTACTTGTACTTGGCAACTGGAGGGTTGCTTGTAGATCTTTTTAGTATATGTAATTGATTAAGGAAATATAAATATTTGACTTACCACAAAATTTGCAACCCCTTCAATCGCATACTGCTACGTAGGTACGAGCGAATGTTCTTAAAACTTACGAATTTCTAATACGGGACGAGATTTTACTTGTGCTTGGTAACTGAAGGGTTGCTAGTAGATCTTTTTAATATAATTGATTAAGGAAATATAAATATTTGATTTGCTACAACATTTACAACCCCTTCAATCTAATACTGCATCGTAGGTAGGAAAGAATTTTCATAAAAATTACGAATTTTTAAACGGGATGGAGTTTTACTGATATTTGGGAAGGGAAGGGTTGTTTGTGCATCTTTTTAGTATAATTGATTATGCTGTGTGGATTTAAATAATGGTAGAACCCAAAACATCAAGAACTTTCGAGATTAGGTGATTGCATCAAAAGTCCCCCTCGTCTAAATAAAAACCGTATAATACAAATCATTTTTGTGTGCCTCCATATGTTACGGTGAAATTATAATTAATGCGGCAATTATTCATAATCACCGATAAATCTGATAAATTTAGGGTACGTTTCCTTTCAAAACTTTAGGAGAAGGGAAACTGCCTTTTATGAAGATATTGAATTTAATAAAAATCATTCCGAGGGCTGTTCAAAAAATGTTCCTTCAATTGTTCACATTTAACAGTTATGAATAATGACCGCATTAATTGCTTTGAGCGTAGTACGTAAATTCAAATTTGGGCGTAATAAAAACACAGGTCAGCCTTTCGACATGTGTTTTTATAGTCAGTTCTTCTCTTACACTGAAGCGGACGACTGAAAGTTTGTGAAAAGAAATGGGATTTTTGACTATATCTTTTGATGTCGTCCATTCTTAAAAATTCTGGATCTATACATTTTGTCGAAAAAATGGTTTGTCCGAAATCGACCGAGAAAAAACCTCTTTGGTCTTTTTGGCTTCTCTATATACAAGAAAATTTGAACCACTACATCAAAAGTTTCTCTTTTCTTTGGAAATCGGTTAATTGTTGTAGTGGTTCAATCTTGAAAGTTCTTGTCCTTATAAGAAAAGTCTTTCTGCGTTCGATATCAGGCAAGTCGTTTTTCGTTGAAATAGAAAAGGTCACCCTGTATGCAAGGATAATGATGCACGTGGTGATGTAACCTGCATCTGTTTATCTATATCGCGGTTATAATTTTATTTATTCTTAAACGCAAATCATTTGCGAATGAGTCGCCCGTGAGTGCGCTTGTACATATTCCGTTAGTATGAAGCGCGGTTTCTTCCACGTGGAGAGGGTAAGTTTTGATTGACTTTTCTTGCATTTAACGTCACGTCTATGCTTCCCTACTTCGACGACAGTAAGGATAATCCGTGGTTGATCAAAATTTTGCTTTTACTAGTGTGAAGTCATTCGATTTATTCATTCTTATTGAGTATTAATTACAGTTTTTAGGTATATCCGATAGCCTTCGTGCCAGACGTTAGCATTGCTTAAGAAATATTTTATGTGTCACGCTATTTACTACCCCTTTTATTTGTTTGTTTGTGTTGTTGTCTGTTACAGATTGGTAGAAAGCATCCTTATTGAGCTGAAAAAGGTCGCAAGTTCGAAAACTAATTTTTTTTATTTCGTCCACTCCTTGATTAACGTTTGATTACACACTCGTTTTCGTATTACATTTGCTTGTAGCTTATAGCAAAGAATAAGTTACTCTTTGCTTATAGCTCCGTTGTTTTCTGCGAAAGCCTGTTTTGATATCTAATATTTTCTCTGGTCCCATTTTACTAAAAATCAATTTAACTTCAAATGTTGGCTAAAAATTAATGTAATTCACACCCCCCTCACCCCCGAAATTCGTCTCAACCGACCTCTACTTTGTCTGAGCTTACCGTGTACTTATCTCAATGTAATTTTGTTCCTTTTCCCCAAAGTAAACGTAACGCGTTCAGTTTTTATTGTCAAGTAAATCGAGGAATTTTGTAATCATATTTCAGATTTCAGGAGAGGTTTCCATTAAAAATTCGTTTAAAAAGGTAAAAAACTTTGTAAAGAATAAAGCTAGTCGGTGGCATCTCACATGATTTTGATACTGTTTAGAGTTTAGTTAGAATTATGAACTTTATTTAACGAAGGAAAATTTCTCAACAAAGCCTGCATAACGAAATTCTATGTACGTTTAGTATCTAGACAGGGTGATTTTTTTTCATTTTAAACTTCTTTGGTCTGTTTGGCTTCTATATACAAGAAAATTTGAACCACTACATCAAAAGTTTCCTTGTTCTTTGGAAATCGGTTGTAGTGGTTCAATCTTGAAAGTTCGTGTCCTTATAAGAAAAGTCTTTCTGCGTTCGATATCAGGCAAGTCGTTTTTTGTTGAAATAGGAAAGGTGATGCACGCGGTGATGTAACCTGCATCTGTTTATCTATATCGCGGTTATAATTTTATTTATTCTTAAACGAAAATCATTTGCGAATGAGTCGCCAGTGAGTGCGGTTGTACATATTTCGTTAGTATGAAGAGCGTTTCTTCCACGTGGACAGGGTAAGTTTTGATTACTTTTACGAACGATAGAGTGGTGCATGCAGTATTCTCATCCAGTGTCTTGCGAATAATTAAATCAAAAACCGCCCCCATACGTAAATCTTAATTTTGGAAGGTAGTAGAGGATTGGCAAATATTTTTGGAACGAAATACATGGATCCGTCTTATACCTCTGATGGTGGATTTTTTTAGAGTCAATCCACTTCAATTGTCAACGACATCTTTGAGACAGAGGCCGTAGAATAATCGCAATACTGTTCGAGAAGTACAAACGGTCTTGTGTGATTTCTAATTAAAATTGGAGATAGCCAACACCATTCTAGAACATAATACAGGGGTGTAATTTAGTGGTTTCTATTTGTCAGAAAATGTCACTACGTTTTCACTTGGGGTTCCTAATTAAACCACCACCAACACCACATTGCCATGGAAAACAGGGTGCGTCAAATACTTCCACCTTTATTGCTTCTGATGATTTTTGTTTAGTTAACTCACTTGGATTGTCACCGATTTTTTGGAAATGGAGGGGGTAAGGCCATGGAATGATCCCGGTGCTGTCCCGAGAAGTACCCTAATTGGTAGATAAAGTCATCGCGTTTTCATATGGGATTCTCATAACAGGGTGAGTTTTTTTTTCATTTTAAACATTAGGATCTCGGAAACCGTAAGACATAGGGATTCGGTTAAATGAGGAAAGAGTTGTAGTTTTAAGAGCTTATTCAAGATATGCTTTTGTTTTTTTTTAAAATTCACAGTTTACTAGATATGAGCGAAAAACAGATTTAGAGATTTTTCATTTAACTGTTGTAGAATCGTTAGTATTAGAAATACAGAAATATGCAAAGAACAAAAATTGTATATTTGTTTCCGCTTAATAAGATACATTTATTAATATTTATTCTTCTTTTATAATTTTCTAGCTATAACGCAAACTTACATTTTTTTAGATGGTAATCATAGTTGGCGGTGACATTTTTAAAAAGTGCATTTTTTTCTGTTTACAATGGTATAAGGTTCATTGTACTTACTTAGACAATAAACATGATAAAGAACTTTTTGTATTATTAAGAGTAGTAAGAACAGATTTTGCCATGGGAAACATTTTTGTTCTCTTAATTAGTGTCTATTATAGTATTTAACTTGCAGTTAGTTGTGCAGCGGGGCACCGTTGTGTTGAAACCAGTTTAAATTACGTCATTTTTCCAAATCTAACCCAATCTATATATCTTGAAATTCATTTGGTAGAAAATGAAGATAGGTAACATTGGCTTGCCCAATTTTCGTCGTAAATGAAAGGTACCTATCTCACTAGATATTGTTTTCCATGGCCAACTCAGTTTACTTACCTCTCAATAATACGAAAATTACTGCAGGGCGTTTATTTATTAAAGTACATTTATTTATTTATTTATTTATTCATGTTCATGTTAGGGTGCAAAGCACTTACAATTGTCAAAAAAGGTTTACATGTAAAAGTGTGTATAACATAAGTCAAAAATGGAAGAAACAAACAATAATACATTAACACTAAATCACACTACTAACTTACATCTAACATGTTTGTAAGTTTCGCATGATCCCCAAATTCATCCAGGGTGTAAAAAGCATGTTCAGTTAGGAATTTTTAACGACACATTTAAATTTGGTATGGTATTCGGTAATTCCTTGATATGAACAGAAATAAGATTAGCAAGACTTATATCATTATAAAGAGAAAGATTTGTCCTTTTTAAAAATATCAAAGCCAACTATAACTACCATTTTAAAAATTTAAGTTTGTATTATATCTCAAACACTTGGATTGTCGCCCATTTCTTGGAAATTTAGGGGGTAAGGCCATGGAATGATCCCGGTGCTGTCCGAGAAGTACCCACAAACGGGAACATCCTCGAGTGCGTCAGGATAAATAAGGATGGAGACTGCCTGTTTGGAGCGATTGGGCATCAACTGAGGGGATTCCCAGTGACATCAGAACCTCACAGGAAATTAACATCACATTCCATCAGGGAAAACCTGGAAGATTTCCCCCACAGTTGATAGGAAACGTAGTGAAACTAGAACCCGGTATGAACAATATGCCAATATGGAGGAAAATATCGAAGCATACCTCAGGGACCACAGAAAGCAGGGATTCTGGGGAGGATACGAGTCACTGGTGGCGGCGGCCAGTACGTACAACAGTGAGATAGCGGATTACGAGGAAGGAGAGGGAAGCATGTTATAGAACCAAGAGCAACAACGGGAGCCACAGGTCACTGCCACTTAGCATACAGATTAGGGAGTAGCAATGCCCGGAACCACTATGATAGCGTGATGCGGGCAGAAAACTTGATAGGGAGGTAGAAGAGGAAGAGGAGGAATACCGACGAACGCGAGTGTTAGGCGAATACGAAGAAGCGAGAGGAGCCGCTGCCCCTAACGAATACAGTCTTAGTATGGTATCCGGAAAGAGTGCCTCGCAGAGGAGAAGATAAAACCAGGATAGGAGCCAAGATATAGAAGGAGACAGCAGCATGAGGGTAACCACGTTGAATGTGCAAGGGGCAAGCGACCCAAGGAAAAGGCAGCTAATTGACGATTAATTAAGGAAACAAGGAATAGATGTAGCCAGTCTACAGGAAACCAAACTAGCAAGTGGGATGGCTGCGACAAGGAACTACGACTGGTGGATAGATGGAGGGAAGAAGGAGAGAACCAGCAGGGGTACGGCAATCGTAATAAAGAAGTGCCGAGGCATTGAGGTAGAGAAATTTGAAGAAAAAAGCGAGAGTATATCCAGCACAAGCGACCAATTACAACTACCGACACTACTGGCGTACGCGGACAACCTACTCGTAATCGCGAATAAGTTAGAAGACATTGAGGACTTCGTCCAAACCAGCGAGGTATACCTGGAAATGGTCGCCTCATAAATAAACAACGAAAAGAGCTACATGATGATAATGATAAGAGACCTACGAAGCAACACCCAGTACAAAGAAAGAGACAAGATCGCAATAGCCGGGAAGGAGATAACTATGAAGCACAAGATTAAATATCTGGGAGCGTACATAAGCAGCACACTTAGCAAGCACAACAGTGTGAAAGACAGAATAACCAACGCATTCAGAATCACACATGGAATTCGGAACTTCATACGAGAGAAGAAAATACCGGCCAGCTTGAAAATGATGATTTACAACACGATCATAGCACCGACAATCTTATACGGAGTTAACACTTCAGTTCTAACAAGAAGTAACAGACGAACTTTGAGGAGGCCGGAGCGGAAGGCATTTAGGATACTGATGGAAAACAGTAACCTTACAAGAAAGAATATAAGGCAATTACTAGAGGGAAAGACGATCACCAGAAGACTGAAGAGAGGAGGCAGATGAGATACTGGGGACATATACCATATCCTACGGACTGCCAAGAAAATATGTGCCTCGGAATGGAAGGTAGGTCGACTCTGCTTCACATGGGACACCACCATAGACCAAACGATAACGGCCTCGGGGATTCTCATGAGAAGAAGGGAAGAGTGGAGCAGAGACAAGCATCAAATGAAGAAAGAAAACAGAAGAATACTGGAGGTGGGGGGAATCACACATAAGCACAAGTAGCCAAGAGGAGGAGGAAGAGGGGACGACAGAAAATAACGCAGGGAGAGGACATTAAAAAGGGGAAGAACAGGGGGGAAAACAGGGAAGGGAACGATACCAAAGGATAGGAACATCGGAAACAAATGAACGCCTGGAGAAGAAGGTATCACTAGAAAGCAGAGTTCCCTCTAAGGCAGATATACCAGTGGCGAAGCTGTGGCCGTACCCGTTCGGGTTGGATAACACCCAGTTATCCGCCCCCCCAATCCACAAACTCCACATTGTTTAGCATATGTCGCGGCCCAGCGCGATGGCAACAAAGTAGTGGTGAAACGTCCCTGATAGTGCCTACCAGAGACGCATCCTCTCGACAGTTTACTAAATCCTGGGAGAGGCGGCGACGACAGGCATATGTCAAAGTTTCAAGTTTCAGTTTCAAGTTTCACTTGGATTGTCACCGAATTTTTGGAAATGGAGGGGGCAAGGCCATGGAATGATCCCGGTGCTGTCCGAGAAGTACCCTACTTGGTAGATAAGGTCAACGCGTTTTCATATGAGATTCTCAATTTAAAATGCAGTTGGTCACCACCACATTGGCATGGAACACAGGGTGCGTCAAATACTTCCACCTTTACTGCTTCTGATGATTTTTGTTTAGTTAACTCACTTGGGTTGTCACCGATTTTTTGGAAATGGAGGGGGTAAAGCCATGGAATGATCCCGGTGCTTTCCGCAGAAAGTACCTAATTAGGTAGATAAGGTCATCGCGTTTTCATATGGGATTTCTCATAACAGGGTGAGTTTTTTTTTCATTTTAAACCATTAGGATCTCGGAAACCGTAAGCATAGGGGATTCGGTTAATGAGGACGAGTTGTAGTTTTAAACAGCTTTATTCAAGATACTGCTTTTGCTTTTTTTTTAAAAATTCAGCAGTTTACTAGATATGAGCGAAAAAACAGATTTAGCGATTTTTCATTTAACTGTTGTAGATTCGGTTTAGTATTAGAAATACAGAAATATGCAAAGAAGCAAAAAATTGTATATTTGTTTCCGCTTATAAGATACATTTTACTTAATATTTATTCTTCTTTTATAATTTTTCCTAGCTAATAACGCAAAACTTCATTTTTTTAGATGGTATCATAGTTGGCGTGACTTTTTTAAAAAGTGCATTTTTTTCTGTTACAAATGATATAAGGTTATTGTTTTTAGTTAGACATAAACACGATAAGAACTTTTTGCTATTATTAAGAGTAGTAAGAACAGATTTTGGCCATGGGAACATTTTTGTTCTTCTTAATTTACTGTCTATTATAATATTTAACTTGCAGTTAGTTTGTGCAGCGGGGCACCGTTGTGTTGAAACCAGTTTAAATTACGTCGTTTTCCAAATCTAACCTATCCTACATCATCTTGAATTCATTTGGTAGCAAATGGAAGATAGGTAACATTGCTTGCCCAATTTTCGTCCGTAAATGAAAGGTACCTATCTCACTAGATATTTTTTCCAGGCCAACTCAGTTTACTTACCTCTCAATAATACGAAAATTACTGCAAGGGGCGTTTATTTATTAAAGTACATTTTTTATTTTATTTATTTATTCATGTTCATGTTAGCAGGTGGTAAAACACTTACAAATTGTCAAAAAAGGTTTACATGGAAACGTGTATATAACATAACAAGTCAAAAACAGAACAAATAAACAATAATACTCAACACTAATCCACACTACTAAACTTCAATCTAAGCATGTTTGTAGTTTCGCATGAATCCTCAAATTTCATCATGGGGTGTAAAAAAACATGTTCAGTTTAGGAATTTTTTTAACGACACATTTAAATTTGGTCATGGTATTGGTAATTCCTTGATATGAACAGGATAAGATTAGCAAGCCTTATATCGATTATAAAGAGAAAAATTTTGTCTTTTTAACAACCATAATGTTCAAAAGCCAACTATAACTACATTTAAAAAATTAAAGTTTGGTATTATAACTCAAACACTTGGATTGTCGCCGATTTTCTTGGAAATGGAGGGAGTAAGGCCATGGAATGATCCCGGTGCTGTCCGAGAAGTACCCCTTTGTAGATAATGGTCAACGCGTTTTCAATATGAGATTCTCATTTAAAATTCGCTTGGTCACCACCACATTGGCATGGAATACAGGGTGGCGTCATACTTCCACCATTATTTCTTATGATGAATTATTGTTTAGTTAACTCACTTGGATTGTCACCGATTTTTTGGAAATGGAGGGAATAAGACCATGGAATGATCCCGATGCTGTCCGAGAAGTACCCTAATTGGTAGATAAGGTCAACGCGTTTTCATATGAGATTCTCAATTTAATATTCAGTTGGTCACCACCACATTGGCATGGAATACAGGGTGCGTCAAATACTTCCACCATTATTGCTTCTGATGATTATTGTTTAGTTAACTCACGTGGATTGTCACCGATTTTTTGGAAATGGAGGGAGTAAGGCCATGGAATGATCCCGGTGCTGTCCGAGAAGTACCCTAATTGGTAGATAAGGTCAACGCGTTTTCATATGAGATTCTCAATTTAAAAAAATTCAGTTGGTCACCACCACATTGGCATGGAATACAGGGTGCGTCAAATACTTCCACCATTATTGCTTCTGATGATTATTGTTTAGTTAACTCACGTGGATTGTCACCGATTTTTTGGAAATGGAGGGAGTAAGGCCATGGAATGATCCCGGTGCTGTCCGAGAAGTACCCTAATTGGTAGATAAGGTCAACGCGTTTTCATATGAGATTCTCAATTTAAAATTCAGTTGGTCACCACCACATTGGCATGGAATACAGGGTGCGTCAAATACTTCCACCATTATTGCTTCTGATGATTATTGTTTAGTTAACTCACTTGGATTGTCACAGATTTTTTGGAAATGGAGGGAATAAGACCATGGAATGATCCCGATGCTGTCCGAGAAGTACCCTAATTGGTAGATAAGGTCAAGTATCAAGTATCAAGTATCAAGTATCAAGTATCAAGTATCAAGTATCAAGTATCAAGTATCAAGTATCAAGTATCAAGTATCAAGTATCAAGTATCAAGTATCAAGTATCAAGTATCAAGTATCAAGTATCAAGTATCAAGTATCAAGTATCAAGTATCAAGTATCAAGTATCAAGTATCAGTATCAAGTATCAAGTATCAAGTATCAAGTATCAAGTATCAAGTATCAAGTATCAAGTATCAAGTATCAAGTATCAAGTATCAAGTATCAAGTATCAAGTATCAAGTATCAAGTATCAAGTATCAAGTATCAAGTATCAAGTATCAAGTATCAAGTATCAAGTATCAAGTATCAAGTATCATGTATCAAGTATCAAGTATCAAGTATCAAGTATCAAGTATCAAGTATCAAGTATCAAGTATCAAGTATCAAGTATCAAGAATCAAAT